ATCCCAGTAAATCTATCTCATTGCTGGCCCGTAGCCCATGAGTACTTTGGGCTTATACGGTACCGTACTGTAGTCTGGGAAATTGGCTTTTTCTATCAAGTATTATTGCGGTTGCCTACCGAGTGCCAGAGGCGCAATAGTCTATCATAATATAGTGCAAATAGGGTGACTTTTTTTTTTTTTGTTAAATCCTAACGTATTTTACCTAGTGTTGGGACATGTCATAGTTATGGGACACCTCTTAAAAATGGAACACATTGTATAAAATTGTGAACCACAACATGAGCACTAGTCAGAATTCCTTAACATTTAGTTATTAGATTAACATTATAGCTTTGGTTGTGTGGTCTAAAAATTATTTCCTACATCAGTAATTGTATACAGTTATATGAAAGAGAACAAAGACAATGAGAATTCGTGATTGGAACAGATCAAGATTTGTTAAAATTAAAGGAAAAATCAGAAAAATATTCTGTAACCTGACTTGGGTAACAGTAATGACTGCTCTTGAATACTCAGTTATAGCTTGTTGTTTACAACTCTGAAGAGGCCAAGTCATTAGTTTGAATAAATCTATACTTTTTTTACTTTTTTTACTATAATACCTGTCACTTTATTATCATAACTTCTCACTCTATATTTATTTTCTACATTCAACAATCATCAATTCTTCCAAAATCCTATTCCATCAAAGAATATCTGAGTTAGCTATTTTGGAGGATCAATCTTTATTATAATATACAGATGAAAATTGTAGAGCTAGAGGTTATTATGATTACTCAGATAGTAAAACCACTAAAGACAAATAATAGGCATCTTCAAGGAAGTATATATCCTAGTATTAACTAACAGGTAGGACTAATTAGATGTATAAGCAAGTGGATAAAAAGAAATCTAAAATAGTAGTAAACTGTAAAGCAAAGAAAATTAAGCTAGCAGAGAATAGAAAAGTAGGGATATGAATTGTTGTTAAAGTAGGAAGTAGGAAGTAAGAAGCAGAGGTGTGGTTTCTGCCTTAGTAAATTCTTAAAACTTGAATTGTGGAACAAAGAAATCATATAAGAGGGTACAAGTGGAAAAAATATAGTTATAGAAGTATGTAAAATAAAAATCATCAATATTATTTGTATTCAAACTAATGACTTGCCCTCTTCAGAGTTGTAAACAACAAGCTATAACTGAGTATTCAAGAGCAATCTTTACTGCTATCCAAACCAGGTCATAGAATATTTTTCTGATTTTTCCTTTAATTTTAAAAAAATCTTAATCGGTCTCAATCATAGATGCTCACAGTCTTTGTTGTCTTTGATATAACTGCTTACAATTATTGATGTAGGAAATAATTTTTAGATCTTATAACTAAAATCATAATCCTATGCTAATACCTAAATTTTAATGAATTCTGACTAGTACTAGTGTTGTGGTTCATGATTTTATACAACCTGTCTTATTTTTGAGGGGTGTCCCATAACTATAACATGTCCCAACACTAGGTAAAATACGTTAGAATTTATTTGCTTAAATAGGTGCAAACCTCCGCTTTAAAGGTGCAACCCGGCTAAAACATGGATCCTTCTACCAGGGCATCTCTGTAATAACCGCCCCACACCCCCATTTTCGCCTCTTCGGCATGTCAGTCAAAAACCTTCTCCGCAGGCCTAGGGAAAAACAAGCTGCTCCAAGTCCCTCTGGTATGGGACCAACCACACATCCTGCACTAAGAAACCCACAGCCCCGCCCCATAACCGCAGAGCCACAACTCCCAAAGCACTGGCAGGAAGCGACAAGAAAACCCACACCGTATTCTCTTGACAAAGGAAATACAAAAGAAACCCAAACAAAAGAAACCTCTTTGATATGACATCGTCCTGCAGTTTTCTCCCAGCCCAACCATTGAAAAGCAGGAAGGTTTACATGGGCGAACCTTTAGGATAATCGTAGCATCTGGGAGTGTCCAACCAGGGCGTACCGGCCCCCCCTTTGAGTGCATCCAAGTCAACCAACCAAACCAAGACCTGAGATAGTGCAATACGGACCCTGCAGCCATAGTGTCAACCTGTAGTAGTTGCATCCCTGCTCGGTGGGAGAGAACCAAGTAGGTGGGAAGTTCGAAACCTCACAGGGCTTAGAGGCGAGATGCCAACTCAGGAGGGAGGGAGGTGGTTTAGAGTCCAGTCTGGCCAGAAGGCGAGGCCCCCAGCGCGAAAGGACGTGTTCTGCATTACCCAAACGAAGAAAGTTGAGTACCCAAGCCGTATGAAGCCCCAAGAAAGTTAGGCGAGGGAAAGATTGTGAGGGGGTGTTTGGTGTTCTGGCCCCTAACCACCTTCCCGATTAGGAAGGCAAAAAGCGGGGTCAGGAAAGTAGCGGAAAGGGAGCTTGTGCAAATAGGGGGACTCGCGCTTGTGTACTTGTACCGGTATTGTGAAAAAAGAAAATGAAAAAAGACATTTCAAGCTAAACGTGGCAGTTAATACAAGTAGAAGAATAACTTAGCACATTAAGTCACGAGGTAACTTAAGGGATTGGTGGAGATCAACACTCAGACCCGGTTGAGCGAAGCACACAAGCCGACATCATATCTGGTTAGCATGCCGGGCTGCGGTAACTGCCGGTGCTTAGCATCAAAACTGGACTCAAAGACTATTTCGGTGCCTGGAGGCGGCATTTCTTTTTTTCCGGTTTAGCGGTTTTGGTGATTTTTATCGTTCTTGCCGTTTCTGTTCGCCTTGAAACCGACTGAAACCGCAAAAACCGCGAAGCGTGAGTCCCCCCACCTACCGTAATGGGCCGAAACTGGGACCTAAAAACAAGCAAAATCCCATCTCAACCGATGGTAGTTCTGCTCAACTCCGATCGGTTTGCATTGGAATTCCCTTCCCACCGGAGGACTCCCCTTTAGGCACCTTGCACGGAACCGCAAATATTGTGCCGGTGGTGATTTTCAGACGAGGGTGGTTTCATTCTCGCTTAGCGACTGCTGACTAAGCGGTTACGAAAAATTTTGTCTACGGTACTCGAGCAGCAGCTGTATGACAATTTTCGGGAAAGAGCCTTGTGATAGTGTTATGGGTCAAGTTATCCACCCCGAGTGGCATAAAAACACGCGATGGGTGAATTGCTAGGACTACCACCGGTAGGGGGTTTTGAAACCTCTGTAACACTATTGTCGAAAAGCTAAATATTTAAGAGTTACTAGAATTGCAAAGAGAAAGTATCTAGAGAAGGTGATATCATAATGTAGCGGCAAAGATGGGTGGGTATGTTGGATGTCTCTAGTACGATACCAATTACCATCCCGCAGTCCACTCTGCTCTCACAACCTCTCTCTGTGGCTTCCTAAGGGACTCAGCGTGGAAATTCAACGAGCAGTGGGCTTGGGGTGCCATATAATAAGTGTTGGAGTCCGGGAAACTAAAACTCGTGGATTTGCAGATACTGGGGTTCGAATCTTAAACATGCTATTGGTACGTCATAGACGTAGAGAACTACCTAATCGCCAAAATAAAGTATCAAAGGCAATAATCAACTACATAGCCTCAATACCACCGACTTCCCCCCGCATCCCTGACAGGGAAAAATAATCACTCCCAATGCTATCAAACAACTCCAACAACTCCAAAAACCACCATTCCCATTTCCCTCCCTCCCCATCCGCTCCCTCTCCCCCGCCCCTCTCAGCGACAATCTCCAAAACTTCCTCCTCCAACTCCACTAAAATCCTCTCTCCGGAATCCAAAATTCTATTAGCCTTCTCATTCGAGTAGAAAATACCCGGCACTTCATTGACAATTCTCTCTATACCCTCTATAACCTCTATAGCTCGCTCGGTTTTAGCGATGGGCGGGTCCTGTGAGGTTAGCAGCTCTCGTACGCTGGCAGCGAGTTCCGCGATCTTGTAGACTTTCATGCGGAAGGTTTTTTTGGTGAGTTTCATTTTGGGGCTTTGGGTTGGAGTTTGGTTGGGCGGGGGATGAGGGTAACCTATTGGAAGGGGGAGGGTGATAGGGCTTATATATAGGAAAGGGTGAGAGCGAAGAGGGATTCAAGATAGTATTTGATTGGAGTTTTGGGGGGTAGGTTATTCAGGGCAGAACTAGGTGTCTCTCTTTCCCCCCACATTCCCCACTACGAGGAAAGCTGATTGTTATGATAGGCCGATGCTTGTTGTGAGCTGGGTCCTCGCCTCTATCACTCCCTACCAACCCCCTAAGCTGCCCGTGGGTCTAATACTGTACCGATGTACCAAGATGCTTAAGTTTGCTTATTTCCCAGTGGTTAGACATACGTTACATGGATTAGCTGGCGCTGTGTCTGCTGTTTTATCAAATGAACCCACTCAACCAGTGTATTCTTGAAAACCACACAATCCATGGATACTCCGACATACATCATGAAACTAGTATAATGGAGCCGACAATATATCTGGAACTTGCAGCCTCCTAAATGTGTATTGGAAGAAATTAGTCCTATTGGGCGAGATACTACCGGTATCGGGGATGATATCATAAAAGGTGGAGCACCGAAAACCAAGGTCACAAAATTTCACTCGAAGGTTTGATTACCGCTCACAATATTATGGGCTTGTCTTTGGTTGGGAGGATACAGCGCTATCAAGCGCACGAAACAAAGAATATGCGACTATAGAGCTAACGGACACTTCTATTTCTATCATAATATTATCATACCATAGAAGTTCTGGATCAACGAAACTAACCACAAGCCCGACGTACTTACCGCGGCCAAACGTAGATTCCATACCTAAACCACACCCATCTACGCTACGGGCCGCCTTGAATGGAAAACTGAAAGGCTTACATCAATTTCAATGGCCCTATAACCCCAAAATAAGCATTTTGGTTGCCCTTCGGAAACCCCCCCTCAGCCTCCGCCTCCGCACTCCCAGACTAAAACTTATCACCAGTCAATTAATCAAATCCACACAGACCAACCAACGGGGGAAAAAAAAAGAACCATCAAATCCCAAATACTTAACCAAAATGTCATTCCTCACCCAACTCAAGCTCAAGATCAAAAAAACCGTCAGCAAATACTGCACTTCATCCATTAAGAGGAGGGCCTCAACTGGCGGATTCCCCGGCCCAAAACTTGGAGATGGAACAAAGCCCGCAAAACGATGTCTAAGCTGCCAGACGGTGTGGATCGAGGCTCCCTCTGAATTGTGCAGTAGCTGTAGGGATTTCCGTGGATTAGGTCTTTTTTTGATTTTTTTGATTGATTGCTAATAGCGGTAGGAATAGGCGAAGTGAGTCCACACGCGCGCCCCGCCTTCCGGGAGGAGGGAGAATCGACGAAGAAGAAGGGTGGTGATGGGGAAGGAGGGGTTGGAGAAGCTGGACAGGCCTCTGGTGGGGAGTGCGAGGCTCAAGGAGAGGCTACAGAGGAAGGCCCGACACTAGATAATATCCTCAGAGGGGATTTTCCAAAGGAGATTGGAGAAGGGTTTTCGTGGAAAGATTGAGGGGTGGGGTGTCCCATCACTCTTCCTTCCTCAGTGGAGACTGATACCTTATCTGACTTGAGTTCAAAATTGGAAAATATATGGTATTTGGGACTTTATGGTGACGGGCACAAATTACTATGGTGTATATATGTATAGTACTAGCTACAATAGTTGTTTATACACCCAGAGTACCAGAGTGTGGTGCTTTAGTTTGTGTAGTATTGAGAATGGCACATGGTAAGACAAAATGTCTAGTTGATACCTGGAATACTTTCACCAAGACTTTCTAGGTCGCTAGGTCCCCTGGCGGGATACAGAAAGTGACCGAATATAAATTTTAATTGTTTCTCTTTCTCCTTGTCACTATCTCACACGACAATACAAAAAGTCGAATCTGGTGCGGGTAGTAAGCAGGAGTCCCATTTGCGGAGGTGAATTGGGCACACACGTTCACATTGCTCATTTCAATCAACCTTTTCATTCCCCTATATCCTCATAGAGCAGTAACGGGCAGCTTCTCTATTTCATATCATTAGCCCCGTTCTTCCCTTGCACTTTCACCCACTTTCCGCCAACATCTGAACCTCAGCACCGCGGCCGGCTGCCTCTATACCGAGGTGTACCGGCATCTCATCAAGCTGCAATACCTCACTTACCTCTTTCCCAAACATTCAGCACTTTTATACGCACAAGTTACCATAAACAAGGCTCCAAACTGCGGGGGTTGAGTTACTTGGGTTAGAGACGGAACTGTCCGTGTGGGTAAAAATTACACTTGTCGAGGGCTGAAAGAGATTTTAAAGTGTTGGAAGGGAGCTGCTAATATTCTGAGCTAACCCGGTTTACCGGCAACCGGCACTGGGCCAGCAGTACCCTTACCAGTGACTGGAATATCAGAAGGGGGTTGCCGGAATAAATACTGTTGAGAGCCATAGGTGAGGTTGATCTGGCCGGCGGGAGCCCTGGTAGTAGCCAAACGGACGTCAACCTCCGGAAATTGAAGTGAGTAAACAAAGCCAGCCAGCGCTCTAGTCCCGATAATTTCTTCGATTGAGGGCCAGCTATAACGTCATAAGAATTAAATAATAAGCTCCCAGCGACCAAAGTTTAGGGAAATATATTATCAAGCCCAAGCACCAGCGTGCGTGAAACAGTGCATAATCCGAAGAAAAAAGAAAAAATACCGCCGGTAGAGCAGGGATGAAAAATGCATCAGGTTTTGAGAATTTCGTTCTTGAACGTTGGGCTGTCTGAGCCCAAATCGCTATGGGCAGGGATCGGACCGAACCGTTTCAAGGCGACCTCGGAGCGCAAGGAGGGGAACCCGTCGCATAACAAGAGCGCCGAATCCCCCTCTCCCCGTGGGGGCGGTGCTTAAGATGTGGATTGACCATTTTCATTTCCGGAAGAGTGAGTGAGAGGTTTTGTCGTTTTGGGTTTGAGTTGTTGGCTGGGGGCGGGCGTACCGGTAGGTCGTCTATGACCGATAGAGGTTCCCCTGGGTGAGTGTTTCACCCAGGAGCGCCCGAAGGTGCTTGGCTCGGTATTGTGGAATATAGCTAAATTTTCGCTTGCTTTATTCAAGCTAAGACATCGTGGCCGAGTGGTTAAGGCGACAGATTAGAAATCTGTTTCGTTCGCGAGCACAGGTTCGAGTCCTGTCGATGTCGAAAAAAATCTTTTTATTTTTTTATCTTTATGAACAGTAACTTTACAAGTACCGTATCATACCAGTAACTCTTGCCACCCGGGGTGGTAATTACAAACTCGTTCAAACGCAGTAGCGCCACCAGGGGCACAAGTTAGAGTTTGGTCAGTTGCAGGCTGATAGAGTTGCGCCAGCGTAAATTGGGCGAAAATTACTCGTAGAATTTTCACGGTGGTGGGTTCGGGCGGATGGTGTGACCAGTGACCACGACCGTTAGAAAAGGAGCCCTCCGTCTTCCTCTCTCCTGTGCTACCGGTATCAAACCTCTGCCCTTTACTCCCCCACTCATACTCCAGCCACAGTGAACGATGGCTGACAATGGGGGAACGACTTTCGTCGGAATGGCCCAGACCATTTTATATCGAAGCCCCGCGTTTGGTCCTCCAGAGCTGCAAACATACCGGTGCCGTACAGGCACAGAACACGTCACGACACGACACGGCAGCATGGGGCAGTTTACTTCCTCGAGGCTAGCTGAAACCACCATCAATCCACACAACCACCTGTCGCTAGCGATCTCCCAGACATCGTCAATTAGAAAGTGGGACGATAGTCCCCTCCGTTTCACCAAAAGCCTTGCCATCTCCAGTGATAATGCCACGAAGTATTCAGTATATCAATGTTACCGAAGCCTTGCTCCCCAACATTGGGGGCGGCATGCGCAGACACATTACGGCGGCGAGCTTGCTGCAGAATATCCCCGAAACGAAGATACGGGACGACCATAGATTCTTTTTTTCCCACCCAATGGGCAGGAGAGATGGTTGTGGGGCGTCGCTGGTGCCAATGGGATTCAGGAGAGTTACCGGGGTGTTAGTTGGTCATTGGATCAATGGCGGCGGTTGGATGGGGTTATAAGTAGGCGAATGGCCTGCCCCTCCATGAGGAGAAGAAGACGAAGAGGTGGACACGATCCCAATCGGCCTTCCTCCCTTCTGAATACTCGAGTGTACGGTACCTCGGCTTCTACGCTACACCGCGCGAATTATCATACCAAAATGCGTTCACCATCTGCAACAACGACGCGCCTCCTCCTCACCTCCCTCCTGACCCTCACCCACGCCCTCCCAAACACCCAAAACCCCCTCCTCCTTCAACCAGGAACATCCTCCCCAAATGGCCCCACCACCGCCACTACGACATGGGGCTACCACTACCATTCCGGCCCCCTCTCCTGGCACAGACTCTCCCCAGCCAACGCCCTATGCAAAACCGGTTTCCGGCAATCCCCAATCAACATCCACCAAGGACTAAAGCGCCCAACTGGCCTGAAGCTGCGTCGAGGCGACTACCGCGAATACGGGATCCTCGAGAATGAAGGTCAGACAGTGAGCATCAAGCCGCAGGAGGAGGACGCCAAGTACGGCTACCAACTCTACCCTGGCGACTCAGCTCCCGGAGGCGGGGGAGTAGGTGAGGGCGGAGGATGGGCCTTGCTGGACACAATGCACTTCCATACTCCTAGCGAACACCACCTTGACGACGAGCACTTTGTCGGCGAGTTACACGCCGTGTTTAGGACTATAGACGGTCAGTGTAGCCCCCCATCCTTCGCGCACGCAATGAAAATAATCTAATCCGCGTCCCAGGCCAAACGACTATCCTATCCACACTCCTGGACATAGACACCACTAGTAGCAATCACTTCCTCACAACACTGCACCCCTGGCTCCCCTTCGTCGCTACACCGCTCACGGCAACGTTCGTGCAATTCGACCCTAGTCCCATCCTCGACCGCTTCTACCGCGCGTATCGTCGCGAACGGGTGTATGCCTACCGCGGTAGCCTCACGACCCCGCCATGCACGGAGAACGTGCTCTGGATGGTCTCACAGGAGCCCGAGAGGATTAGCGTCGAGCACTATCGAAGGCTCAAGGCGATTACAAAGTTTAACGCGAGGTATCCGCAGAATCATCCGGGCTATATGAATTTATTGGAGTGGGCTTGCGAGAAGTAGGTTTTTGGCAGGATGATATAAAACTAGGTTACTGGTAATGGACAAGGGTGCCCTCCCCCTCTCCCCCCCGTTCCCCGCGCCAATTCTTGCAATTCTTTCACACCATCACCATGCCTTTTCCATAACCATGTACTATAATACGTTATGATACCGCGCAAGCGTCATACCGCCCACCCCCTCGGCCCGAGCACACCCCGCACGACACTAGCTGGTTTACGAACATTAGTCGGAACGAATTCTACCCATAGCGTTACGGTACTGCTTTTCCCCTTTGAGTGTGTGAAATTAACTTTCTTCCGATTCGTGATGGACCAATGCCCACCGCTGGAATCAAGCGGGGAAGGGAGAAGAAAAAAAAAAAAAGTGCTCGAACTGTGTCATTCACGCGAACATCTGTTATCCTACCGTACCGTACTCGAGTTCCAGTCGGTCGGCAGGCACCGAGAATTGTGGAGGGTTAGGGTTGTGTGGGTAGTCTCGTCTCGTTCATAAGCAGGTGCATGCACCGGTACCTGTACGCTGTGAAGAAGAGTCCGGTACAGTACTGTGCGAGAAACTTTTGAAAGGGGATATATCGTGATGCATTCGATAACCCGTGCAATATGCTACCAAACAAGCGGAAAGAGGAAGAGAAAAGAAAAGAGAGAGAGACCGAGTCCCATCAATTCCATCGCCCAGACCAAAAAACACAATAATGTAATATCCCTACACCCATACCCCATACCAACGACAGCTAAAGCCTACAAGTTGGCCCTTTTCAGCCCCTCCAATTCTTCATAACTCTTGACAATCTCCCCGATGACCTCGTCATCTTGTAGGCTAGTGACTTCTATAACCGCCTCCCGAATCCCCTTCTGCTCAACCTTAGCGCGGAGCTCACCACTCTGTTTATCCTCCTTGTTCTCGTACAGGAACGCGGCAGCAATGCCTTTCGCTAGATGGCTGTACCCAAGCCCGAACTCTCTAGCCATGTTCAACGGACCGACGAGCCTGTCTCCTGGCGTGACCTTGCGGATGGGCTCCCGGCCGACGCGGACCACGTCGTCCTTGATGTACGGGTTTTGGAAGCGCTTCTGGATCTTGTTGATGTACTTCTTGTGCTCCTCCTCGTTGAAGGAATGTTTCTTGCAGAGTGCGGCGCCGGACTCGAGCATAGCTTTGTGTACGATGTCTTCGATCCATGGGTCGCGGAGTGCCTCATCGACTGTTCGGAAGCCCTTCAGGAAACCGAGGTATGCGGTGATTGCGTGTCCGCAGTTTAGCGTGAAGAGCTTTCGCTGGACAAATGCAGTGAGGTTGTCTGTCAGTTTCATGCCCGGGATCTCTGGCTTCGTTCCCTTGATGGCGGGCTCCTCTACGATCCATTCGTAGAAGTTCTCTACGCCAACGGCGAGGGGATTACCGTCTTTCGAGAAGGGGGGCACGATGCGGTCGACGGCGCAGTTCGGGAAGCCGACATACTTGTCGAGGTATTCTTTGTCTGCATCCTCCTTGAGGTGCTTCGTAACTTCTTCTTTCAGAAGGGATGAAGCACCAGTGAGGTTCTCGCAAGCGATTATGTTGAGTTCGGAGGTCACACCGGCCTTTCGACGGGCGGAGATGCCGGATGCAACCCCTCGGGCGATGATTCGGAGGACATTGGGACCTACGGCTGTGGTAATTATTGAGGCTTCGGTGATGGTCTTGTCCATTGCTTCTTGATTTGTGGAAATTATGCCTGATACGCCTTTTATCGTGTCGACTTCGTCCGTGCGTTCCAGGTCTAAGATGTATATCTCATACTCTTTCTTCTCGTTGAGGGCATTGATCAAGTTCTCCACGACGTCCGCAAAGACAAGATCGTAACCGGCTGTAGCAAGGAGGGCGCCGATGAATCCGCGGCCGATGTTGCCGGCTCCAAAGTGGAGGGCCTTTTGCTTGGGCATTTTGGAAGGGAAGAAGAATTTGAGGATGCTATTTAGAACAGAGGTCATAAGAGCCGTCAGTCTTTAGGCTCTTGGTTTCTTTCCCTTTTCTCTTTTGCAAATAGAAAAGGTTTCCAAAAGACGGGGGATAAAAAAGGAGGAGAGAAAACTTAGAGGAAAGGTGAATTGGTGTTCTTTATGTATCGCAGAGAAAAATGAAATAAAGATCGCCTTGATCAATTACTACCGGTATCCCACACACTCTCTCTGACAAACTCACTCACTCCCACACCGAATGCCCCGTACTCAAGTATGATATCCGCTACAACCCAGCCCTTCCTGCGGGGGAATTCGGGGGCGGAAGAGGGTCCAATGGTTCCGTTTCACGCACCCTCCTTCTGTACGGGGACTCTAGAAATCAGCCGAGTAAATAGCCTTTCTATCCACCGAATCCGAGAGCCCGCGGTATTGAATCTGTGCTGCAGCGTTCTGTTCATACCCAACCAGGGCTTGCTATTGAGAATCCTTGTTTGTCGTTGTTTAATGCGGCCTTTTTCCGTTCAAGAGCACTTTCTTTTGAGTCCGGGGAGTGTGATAGACAGTTGTTTCGTATTAGGCTGAAGTGGCTTTACCAGATAGATATTTTCCGATAATTTGTTTTGCCGCATGAAGGCTGCTTCCGTCTCCTCCCTTTGGAGGAACAGGAGGAGGAGGAGGAGGAGGAGGAGGAGGAGGAGGAGGAGGAGGAGGAGGAGGAGGAAGAGGAAGGAGGGGGTAAGGTTGCGTGTCTTTTTCTCGTTCGAGGGTATACGTCGTAAATCCGTCGTGGTCTTTTTTCCGGTCTCCGTTGCGTCCGTAT